GCATCGTTTTGCCAGGTTCGAGGTCGCCTGTGAATTTATTTCTGCCTAAGTCGGTTGGATTCGGGGGTGGTACTTCCACAGATTCAAACCCATCTGTCTGCATTGTTTCTTCCTTTGGTTCTAGAATCTCCATAATTTCGATTTCGTTGGACTGTATGGTTTTGCCGGTTTCGAAATCATCCGTGATTGTGCCTGTGTCGATCGTCTTCTGGGATGACAGTTCTATAGATTCAATCCTATCTGACTGCACAGCTTTTTCGGATGATTCTGGAATTTCCGCGGACTCGATTTCGTCGGGCTGCATCATTCTGCCTATTTTGAGAACTCGTACGGATCTAATTTTGTCTGAGCTGGCTGACTTACGGGGTGGTTTGGGGATTGCTACGGTCTTAATTCTGACTGGTTGCACCGGGATGCCGAATGGATCCGGGATTTGTGCAGATTCGGCTTTATTTGGTGGTACCATTTTGGCGGATGGTTCGAGGGCTTTTTCCGATTCAGATTCTGCCGTCCAATGTAGCAGGGGGTGGACTTGTTCGAATTCGATTCGTTCTGCTGGTGCTGGATTCGGATTCGGCCGCGTGGAGTACGGCGTCTCGGAACTGTCAAGAGTGTAAGCAGTTTCACTATTTTGGTCGAACTTTTCGTATTCGGCAATTATTTCTTGGATATCTTTGACTGGAAACTGGAAGTCTGTTTGTACTGCCTCAACGCATTCGGATAACTCTGCAGGGTTTTCTCGAGACGGTAAGGTATGTATCTACGAAAGCTTGCGCATAACTGGGAGCCTCAGTCACTCCAGCTTCTGCTTCATCCCGCCTTGTAACTTTTGCAGGCTCATCCTCCGCATCTGTTGAATCCGTCCACGCTTCTACACGCCGAGCAGTCTCGTCTTCAGCTTCAAGTTCCTGAAGGTAAACTTCACGGTCTCCTGTTACTTTGATGGGGATGGTCAGAATTTCAGAGTCTTCTTGCTCTGAGCGGTCACTCTGCGAAGAACCAGAAGCACTTTTCTGAATCGGTTCCAATCTCTGAAACAGCGTCAACTTAGTTATTTTCATGAATTACTGTGGTATTGGCCGGAGATATGCAGCTCTGGGTCGAAAGGTCTAGCACAGAGCTGTGGTCTCAGCTAGCAAGAACGTCCTACGGACATCACTAACATAGGATACCCATACTTACCGGTTTTAGTGATTTCCTGGCGTTATCAAAATTTTTACCACTTTGCTATTCACACCATTACATGCAGTTATCAGAACCAAATGGTTACTGTCACTCAAAGTATTATTTATTGCTCCAGCCTCTTTCGAGTACCTCCG